GCCAATCCCAGCCACCCTCAGGCAAAAAAATCTAAAAAAAAAAAAAAAAAAGGAAAGTATGTCCCAAACACAGCTGTTATAAACACTGGCAGGGACTCCTGGGCTCATATCAATATCAGAAGTCGGCAGTAGGCCTGGCCTTAGATTCAAGGCTAACCTCAATGACACCCATGGAAAGAATGCTGAGAGAAGCCCTCAGGTGCATGAAATGAGAAAAGATTGCTAAACAAATCTTGTTCTGTCTTTCTCATTTTATTATTTGTTTTGTTTTTAGGAGTTTTGAGAGTGAAATGACAACACCCGGGAATTCAGCGAGTGGCACTGTCCCAGCACAGCCTTTGAGAGGCCCTAATACCATGCAGCCTGCCAAAAAAGTAGTTCTCAGGAGGATTTCTTCTTTCATGGGCCCTACGCAAAGATTTTTCATAAGGGAATCGAAGGTTTTGGGAGTAAGTCGGTTGCTCTCCATTCCATACCCTGGGTATCCTCTGCCCTTCAGAAGTTGATGCTGTAGGCTTGGTACTGAATTCAATCCAGCTGAAGGGGTGTGATCCAACCTGAGGGGTCTTTATGCCTTGCACAGAGGGCCAAATCAAGTGTATTAGAGACGTTACCACCTGGATCACCTCAGGGCAGTCTTATGTCACCTTTTGGTTGGGGAACTTATATTCATTCATTCCCAGAATCCTAGATATTAATCTGGTCTTTGGAAATGCCCCCATGTGGTAAGGAAAATAAATTTGAAGAAAAGAAAGATAAAATTCTTGGTTGGCCCCAATAGCATAGTAGTAATGAAATATTTCATTAATGAAGCAACATGGGAAGGTCCTGGGTTCATGTCCCAAGGTATCTCTGAACACATTGGACACATGCCCTCTCTCTTTGTCTATCTCTCTCTCATGAAAGAAATTTCAAAATAATTCTTGGCATCTCTACTACTTGTTTAGGCATTTTGCACAGCTCGAAGTCAGAAGCCAGGGCTTCCAATTTTTTACTTATGATAACGATTATTTCAGTTCATCCATCAGTGTCCCCTTTCTCTGCCTAGGCTGTCCAGATCATGAATGGGATTTTCCACATCGCCCTGGGGGGTATCCTAATGATCCCCATGGGACCTTATGCTCCCATCTGTGTGACTGTGTGGTACCCTCTCTGGGGAGGCATAATGGTGAGTAAAAAATACCAACCATTGAGAATTAGGATTAGGTACAAAAATGCTAAACACTTCCGCAGAGATATGTCAGATTGTCTCTGTGTTGAAGAGAATATATGGGTAAGAAATAGGCTGTTGGGTTAAAAACAATGAAGTGGGAAGAGATATTATCTAAACATAGCATAAATCCCATGACTGACAGTAGTCAAGCTTCAGGAAAATTCAGACAAAGAAGCTCTGCATGGAATCTACACCGAGAAGACTGTTCAGTGGAGGGCCTTTCTACAGTCAGCTTTGGTGGGAGGGAGGCAGCAGACATTTGGACTGTCTGGCATGGTGATGTGGAAAGGAAGCAAGATCAGAAGCATCTTACTTCCTCCCATCTGCTCCTTCTTTCCCACAATTGTTTAGTTGCCATGGTGCAATGAAATTGGCCCCATTCCAAATAAATCTACTTACGCTTATCAGCAGAGCAGCACTCCTTTTGGCTAGTTTATGTGCATGTTTTCCAGATTTGTAACCCAGTATAGGTGTAGCCTGGGACTGTGATATTTATTGTCTCATGACACTTTTCATGGGTGCTATTATAAAAATAAATCCAATATTGAAACATTCAAAAGGAGGAGAAATGGGTGAGGACAAAAGCTTCTTCCATTTACAGCATGGACATTATGAATATCGAACTATTCTAAACTCCAAATAGGGAACCAGCAGTTGGCGTAATGGCTATGTCACTGGACTCCCACGTAGTCGACCGCGGTTCATGTCCCGGACCCGGTGGCTTAAAACTCACGCCGGGCGCGTGTGCGTGCGTGCCCAAGATCCCGAGAGGAGAATGGAGGAGAAGGGATTGCGGCGTGACCATCCCCCTGAGGGGTGATTTCTTGCTTTCTGTCTCTATGTCTCTCTCTGTCTGTCTGGTGAGCGCACGCGCCCTACAGTGAAAATCTCTCAAAAAAAAAAAAAAAAGG